ACCGGGTGGCTCCAGGGTGGCTCCGGGCAGCACCGGGGTGGTTTCACCGGGCACCAGCACCAGTGAGAGGGTGCTGGGGGGTCGCGGGGCTGGATTCGGGGATGGGCTCCCTGTCCTGGCGGGACCCAGGGTGGGCTGAGCCCCCTCCCCRCTGCGCAGGGCTCGGCTGAGTCCTACACCAGCCGCCCCTCGGACTCGGATGTGTCGCTGGAGGAGGACCGGGAGGCGCTGCGCAAGGAGGCCGAGCGCCAGGCCATGGCCCAGCTGGAGAAAGCCAAGGTGGGACAGCTGGGATGGAGCCCCCCGTGCCTGCCCTGCCGCCCCCTGGTACCCCCCRCCCCACACGGGGACCCCTCCCCATCCCTGCCGTGTCCCGGGGTGGCACTGGAAGGGTAATGGGGTGTACTGGGCGGAACTGGGAGCCTGGGTTGTCACCCTGGCCGAGTGTCCGTCACACTGTGATGGGCAATTAGCTAATGAGCCGCTCATTGTGGCCACTCCCCAGCCGTGGCTCCGAAGGTTGGTGACACCACTGCCTGGGCGGGACGGGGGTGAGGGAGTGGGATCTCCCTGTTTTGGGGTGGAAATTCCCTGTTTTGGGGTGATTGGGGGTGGGATCTCCCCATTCTGGGATGGCAGGGAGTGGGATCTCCCCGATTTGGTATGATAGGTGTTGGGATCTCCCCATTTTGGGGTGGCAGGGGTTGGAATCTCCCCGATTTGGTGTCATATGGGTTGAGATCTCCCTGTTTTGGGGTGATTAGGGCTGGGATCTCTCCGTTTTGGAGCAATAGGGGTTGGGATCTCCCCGATTTGGGGTGATAGGGGATAGGGTGATAGGTTGGGTGGCAGGGAGTGGGATCTCCCCGATTTGGGGTGATGGGTGTTGAGATCTCCCCATTTTGGGGTGGCAGGGGTTGGAATCTCCTTGTTTTGGAGCGATAGGGGTTGGGATCTCCCCGTTTTGCTGTGATTAGGGGTGGGATCTCCCCATTTGGGTGTGATAGAAGTTGGGATCTCCCCGTTTTGCTGTGATTAGGGGGTGGAATCTCCCCGTTTTGCTGTGATTAGGGGTTGGGATCTCCCCGTTTTGGGGCGGGGGGAGATGCCAACCCCTCTCCCTTCAACAGACCAAGCCGGTGGCGTTCGCCGTGCGCACCAACGTGGGCTACAACCCCTCGGCCACCGACGACGTGCCGGTGCAGGGCATGGCCATCTGCTTCGAGCCCAAGGACTTCCTGCACATCAAGGAGGTGGGAGCGGGCTGGGGGCRCGGGGGGCGGCTCTCGGTGGGTCTGGGGGGGTTTTAAGGCGTTTTTTCCCCCCTCTCCACGGAGCAGAAGTACAACAACGACTGGTGGATCGGGCGGCTGGTGAAGGAGGGCTGCGAGGTGGGCTTCATCCCCAGCCCCGTCAAGCTGGAGAACATGCGGCTGCTGCAGGAGCAGAAGATGAGGCAGAGCCGCCTGAGCTCGAGGTGGGGCTCAGCCCTGAACCCCCCTTAGCTCTCTTCAAACCCTCCTTTTCCCCGATCTCCCACCCTCACCCTTCTCTCGGTGCTTCTCCCACGCAGCAAATCGGGTGACAACTCCAGCTCCAGCCTGGGCGATGTGGTGACAGGGACGCGCCGCCCCACGCCCCCGGCCAGCGGTAAGAGTGTCCCGGGTCCCCAAAACCCTCAGCTCCAACCTGGGGGTCCCTCCCCCACCTCCTCCATCCCCTCCACCCCAGCCGCAGGCAGGGTGACCCCTCTTTCCCCCCGGGACCCCTCCCCTCTGCCCTTCTGCTTCTCCCCCTCCCATCCCACCCTTCCCAGCTCCCCCATCTCCATTTTTTTCCCCCCATTCTTCCATCGCCATTACCGCTCTTCTTCTCTCCCTGCCGTCTCGCGGCTCCGGCCGTCCCCAGGTGGCCTGGAGGTGCCTAGCTTTGCCTTTGACCCCGATGAGTTAGAGGAGGAGGAGGCCATGGACAGCCAGCGCTCCCCTAAGAGTAGCGTGAGCAGTGTCACCACCCCCCCCGCCCACAACAAGCGCATCCCCTTCTTTAGGAAGGTAACGGCCCCCGCCGGCCCCCGCCTCTCGCCTGCTGCACCCGCTGCCTGCCCTAACACTGCCGGGGGGCTGGGGGCACCCACGGGGGCTGGGGCCACCCAAACGGGGCTGGGGGCCACCCAAACGGGGCTGGGGGCCACCCAAAGGGGGCTGGGGGACACGCACGACCCCGGTGCTGCAGCATGGGGTGAGCGCTGCGCCCGCAGGGTCAGTGCGGGGCTGACCCCACCTGTTGGAAATGGGATGGATCAGTCCGTGGATGCATCCCCCTGTGGACCATGGGATGGATCAGTCCGTGGATGCATCCCCCTGTGGGCCATGGGATGGATCAGTCCATGGTTGACCCCCCCTGTGGGCCATGGGATGGATCAGTCCGTGGCTGTGTCCCCCCCCCCCCATTGTTAATGGAATGGATCAGTCTGTGACTGTTCCCCCTGTGGTCCATGGGATGGATCAGTCCATGGCTGACCCCTCCCACTGTCAATGGGATGGATCAGTCCGTGGATGCATCCCCCTTTTGGCAATGGGATGGATCAGTCCGTGGATGCATCCCCCTGTGGGCCATGGGATGGATCAGTCCTTGACTGTGTCCCCCTC